ACGGGGCTCCCCTGCCTTCCCAGGGCCCTTGGGGGGACTGAAGGGTGTCGGTTTGGGTCTGATGTGCCGCTTGCTGCCCTCTCGGCCGATGGGATCACCGACTGCTTTTCCCCTGGCTTGGAGGTTTCCCTGCACATCCCCTAGTGCCGCAGTACGGAGGGAGAGGAGATGAGCACGCTCATCCTTCCCTGCCAAGCAAGACGGGATCTGGCTAGGCCAGGGGATTAATCCTAGCTGACTCTGCTTCCCATATGTCCGTCCATCCGCAGCTGGGTCTGCGGACTGTGCCAGTGCCTGTGGGATGGGTGGGACTGGGGAGCCCTTCAGAGTCAGGGGAGCTCGCTGTTCCCATCAGGGACCATCTGCTGAAGAAGACAGGCTGCAATAGCAGGGATGCTCTGTGCCATGACCAGAGCAGCCTGGTAGCTTAAAAAAAAACTAAATGCAGAGAAACCTGGTTTTAACACCAAATCTCCTCTCACCTTCTTGATCTCTGGAGAGCCCTCTTGGGGGCTGAGGCCGGTCCGTCTAGCCTTTGCAAGTCCAGGGAACAGAGGGCAGAGGTGACCAGAGATGGGTCACTGTCCATGACAATAACTAGAAACAACCTGTGTCCGGCCTGTATAGGGTATCAAAAAAAAAAAAAAGTCTGCTGCTAACCATATGGCTCATTTTGGGATACAGAAGGAGGCATGTTACTGCTGCAAGCATTTGGTTGCCGAGCGAGGATTCAAAACACATCTGTTAGATGTTGCCCATGGAAAGCCCTTGCTTCAGCAAGCAACTGATTATCTACAGGGAGGAAGGGGAAGCATTAAAAAAAAAATTGTTATTCCTGCCTTTGTAAATCAAAGACTGGTAAACATTCCTTCACATCCCAGATAAATCAATAGCACAGCGTTAGGCCAGCTGGTGATAATTGGCATTGGTCGATTCTGCTATTGCATTTTCAATCCGCTATTGAATCCAGAAAACTTCAGGGCTTTGAAGTCTGAACAGGCTTGGGTCCCAAGGGATGGCTAGGACAAAGATTTGGAGGCAAACGCTTTTATGGAGCAAATGGTCCAGTAAGGAAGTGATGCATGCGCTGAAGCATACGTGGCTCGTGCTGTGGCGGGTGCTGTGCCTCCCAGCCTTCTTCCAGCTCCCCCCCCCATGCTGCTGGGATGTGGCCTGCCAGATCTGCTGGTCTGCCCGAGGAAGAGCATCTCTTCGGAGGCAAGGAAGGCTGTGTGGGCTTCGCTGCCCTTGCCGAAAGCAAGTTCTCAGCATCAAAATGCTTCCTTGGGACTGGATGTGCAAATACTTATAGCTGGAGACAGATTTTTCTAAAGCATCTGAGCTCCCCAGCCTTTTCTCCCTGCAGGCCACCTTGGTGGATCTAAATGCATCAGAGCATTATCACAGCAAAGTGACAGGAGCAGATCAGAGATGCCACAACACAAACCCATCAGGCATGGGTTTCCTAAGGATGGCTGAGGGCTGCATCACCCTCTGCTGCCTGTCTGCCCCCAGCTCCAGCCTAATGCCAGCTGGTGAGGTGGTGTAATGCAATTGCTTTGCCTGAAATCCCTGCTGTATCCAACAGACTCTGCAAGAGCTTTATTGTCCTCTCTTACCCAGCTCTGCACCATGATTTTTGTCTCCTTTCATTGATTTGATTTGAATGAGCCTGGGCAGTTCTTGGGCAAGTCATCTCTTCATTTCTCTGAGATGCTAGAGGAAGGAAAGTCAACAGCAAGAGAAATGCACAGCAGGAGCATCCTCCACCATCCTGAATGAGGTGAACTGCTCTAAAGCTGTTCAGACCTGCGGTGCAGGTGGGAGCAGGTGAGCTGGGGTGTTCTGCCAAGTACTGGGCAGGCGTTGCTGCTGGTGTAACACACCCTCTCTGCTCGCTTCCCTCGCTGTCTTCACCTCCTCGTCTTGTGCATCTTTTTGGCATTGCTTTCTTCAGCCCATAGCCAGAGGAGACAAGAAGGTCACTTCAAAAAGAGCCACCTGGCAAACACAGTTCAGGTGGAGGAGGACTTGGTGGTCAGTCTGGCAGGCAGCACGGGATCCTCAGGAATAAGAACGTGGTGGCCATCATGATGGGGTACTCATGGAAGCGGATGGAGTTACAGCAGGGAGCAGCTAGCCCTGCTCACATGGTCCTCTCCAAAACCTGCAGAGCAGAAGAAGCTGAAGCTGTCTCCCATGTGACCATGAAGGTCTCTTGCGGTTGCAAACCAGAGCCCGGTTCCAAGAACCACATGTGGCAAGTGCTGCCCTGTGTTTGCCTGCCTGGAGCGGGAACATCACAGAACACTGGGCTGGGAGGCACAGCAAGCGCCGAGCTGAGCTGTGGCAGTGACCTGGGACAGTTCAGACTGATCACATCCCCTTGTGACTTGTTCCTGGCTGGCAGCTCTTGATCCCAGCAGAGAGGATTCCTGGACCCGTTTCTCTCCTTTGGAAGAGACAAGGAGCCGCCTTCCTGTGAGATCTGGTGATGAGGCCTTGAAGCAGCTCCTGGCACTGCTGAGCTCTTGGCCTGAGAGCTGGAAGGCTGGGGCTTGCCCAGGATCCTGTTTGTCTCCTGCTCTTCTTGTGGCAGTTCTTGGAAATGCTTTTCCAGGGGATTTTGGCATGCCCCTGAAGTGGAAAACACCTGCTTCCGTGTTTCTCTTTGGCTTAATGCTTATTTTATCCTGTTACCACCTTCCTGGCTAAGGGTCTCCAGAGGTGATCCTCACAGCCCTGCTCTGCCTGAGATATCAGACATCTCTCCTCCTGCCCAGCACTGGCACTCGGAGGGAGCATCCCTTTACCTCCTGGGCTCATTTTCTTGCTATGTGTGCTCAGTCATCCCTTCCTCCTACTACCGCTGCCAGAAATCACGTGTTTCAGGGTGGCCAGGAATCCCCTTCTGAAAATAACTCATCTTAATGACTGTGTTTTCATTTAGGAGAGTCCAACTCCCTGTTCATCAGTCTTCCTTAGCTAAATGATTTTCCACCCACGTAGTGCTCTGCCTCACTCTTTTCTGTTGCCCCGAGCTACCTTGTCTGCAGTGAAAAGCCTTTTTTTTTTCCCTGGTTGCGTCTCACCCGGCTGTCTGTGCTGCAGGGTGACCTTGTGCTCTCTCTCGAGGTTCCCCCATAGCACTAGCTGCTTGCAGAACTGGTGTTCAAGGGAACAAGGGGCTCCTACGTGATACAGGATCTGTGCCATCCAGGTCTTTGCCTGTTTAACAACACCTGTGGCATGTGAGCAATCCTTCCCTTCTGCCTCACTGTGTTTGCCTCTACCACAAAAAGTGGTTATCCAGAAAATGGCACCCACCCTTTCCTGCTAGTGACAGACATTGCTTTTTGGGGGTGGCAGAACAGCTCAGTACTGGCTCCAGTGTGGCTGCCTCTTGATGCACAGCTTTTTCAACCACAGAGGCAATGCTTGTGAACCCTCCGTTTTCCTTGAAAGCACCAAAGTGGATGGGGAGACCTGAAGATGCATGTTGTGCAGGTATACCCACAGCTCTGATGCTCGGCTGTTGCATGTGGAGATGCTCTGTGTCCACCTGGGAGCATGGAGTTTGGAGTAGCAGTACTCTGTGCTAACGCACAGTTGATGTCCTACAGCAGCTTAGAAACAAGCTTGAGAGCAAAGCTTTTTGGGGCAGTGTTGGAGTACAACTCCCTCACAAGGCCCTGGGGTGTCAGGCATGGATGCTTGTGGCCTGTCTGGCTGCTGTTAGCGTTTCCCTTGCTCCCTGCCCTCCATCCTGGCCCTGGCTAGTCGGGATGGAGAACGGAGAAGGAAGGGCTACACCTTTGCTGGCCAGTTCATCACAGCACTGCTTTCCCCTGATCTCCTCCAGAAGCAGATTTGGGAAGGAAGGGTGAGGTTCACCCCAAGCCAAGTGACAGGTCTCTCTTTTGCCTCCTGCCAGGTGGAGTCTTAACATCACTTGTGCAAATGTTTCGTTTCCTAGGCTGGTGGAAGAACTTGGCAGCCTCCGTGACAGGACTGATGACTGGTAAGGAGCTCATCTCCTCTCGCCCGGGGCTGGGTGCCGTGCAGAGGTGCATGATGCTCACTGGCTTAAGCCAAGCCTTGCTGGGCAGCTCCGAAAGGATGGGCTGGGAGTTGAGATGACCTCTGATCTTCTCAGCGGTGACTTGCTCTGGGTGTTGTGTGATGTTTGTTCCTTAATCCCGTAACGCCTCCGAGGGGGCCAGGCTGCCGGTGCTGGTGGGTTGCTCGGCTGCCCGTGCCTGGGTGGATGGGAACCAGGGACTACATTTAGGAAAATGCGAAGATACCGGTGTCATGTGCTGCAGACAGGGTATCTGTTAGAAAGCTGGTTTGTTTTATATACCCTGTGACTTGCACTGTGTCTTGCTGGATATGAGTACGTGGAAGCTGGAGGGAAAGGCCACTGTTCCGTGTTAAGGATGTGAGGCTTGTTCTGCCGTACTCGAACCAGGGTCTGAAGCATAGTATATTGGTGAGTCTCCATGTCAGGTGCCAGCTGGGGCGATGTGGGAATGCCTTTTCTCGTTTGACAACACAGATGATGTAATCCTCTATCCCACTGAGACCATAGTGTCCTTGGGTTGAGTTCGATCCTACCTGGCCTCTGGTGTGCACAAAGAAAGTCCAGCTGGGACCTGGCTGGCATCTCTCCGGGTACGCGGGGGGAACTGGAGCGCAGCAGCTACAAGTGGACCTTTGGATGTACAGCACAGAGCACCAACAGCTGCCCGTGGGTTCTCCCATCTGCGGCTCTCACAGTCCTAGTGGTAGCCATTTGTGATAGCAAAGCCTTTGTGGGGCTTGTAGGGGTCAGCTGGAGCAGCCTCTTCTCCCCCTCTAACCCTAACCTTTCTCCTTGGCGTCCTGGCCAGTGACTTGCTTGTCTCCCTTCTATCTAGCTCACCCTGCACGTGCTCGTCATATCGCACGGCGTGTCTGATTGCTTCTTCTCTCTTTTTCTCATCTCTCTCCTTGTGCAGCAACACCAACCGAGCCAGAAGCAGTGGTGAGGAAGTACCTGGAAGAGCTGAAGGGCACTCCGGCCGATGAGGTGAGAGGACAGTGAAGCAATTCTGGCTTGCCCAGTGGCCCTTTCACTGGGGTGCTGTGAAAACCACAGTGATGCCTGAGGACCATCCTTCCTTGGGCATCCCGCGTGGTAGATACTGCTGCTTGCAATGGCACCATTGGTGCTCGATGGAGAGGCCTCAGCACTGTCTGAAGCCAATGCTTGGTAACTGATGACTTGTCCTCATCAGAGGACCATGACAGTCAAAGCACGGTGTGGGTTGGATAGCTAAGCCTGGCAATGCCTCCCCATTTCCCTTGGAGCTGTCTGCAGGGCCTGGGGTGGAGGAGGGTGTTTGGCTTTGGTCTCCTCTCAATGCTCATAGAGTTCAAAACTACAGAGATCAAAACCCTGCACTGGAGCTGCTCTGTAGAGGAGCAGGACGTAACCATACTCAGTTCCCACTCATCCCCTCTAACTGATGGCAGTTCTCTTTCTGTGCTGTCCAGGAGGTGGTGGAGTGGGGATAAGGAAACCTCTCTCTGTGCCCTTAAACCTCAAAGGGAAGGATGAAAGTTGAAGGCAAATCTCCCTAAAGCATCTCCTTAATCGCTTCCTTGGTGGGTCAGTCATTACGATCAGCCTGTGCTCGCACTAAATGGTGGTTTTCTCCTTGCTGTCTTGGACTCTAGGACTGTATCATCTGCATGGAGAAGCTGTCCTCCCCCTCAGGTTACGGCGACGCATGTGAGTGCAGCACGATCAAGCCAGAGACGGTTGGTCGTCTGACAAACTGCCAGCACTCCTTCCACATGCTCTGCGTGCTGGCCATGTACTCCAACGGGAACAAGGTACTGAGCTGGCCCATCCCCACCAGGTCCCCTGTGTCTGGGTGACTCGGCTGTGGAGCTCTGATGCCTGCTTCTCTCTCCTCGCAGGATGGGAGCTTACAGTGCCCCTCTTGTAAAACCATTTATGGAGAGAAAACCGGTACTCAGCCCAAAGGGAGGATGGAGGTCTCCACTTTCCCCCAGTCCCTCCCTGGCCACAAGGACTGTGGGACAATCCAGATTGTGTATCACATCAGCAGGGGCATTCAGGTGAGTGCGCAGCACTACCGGCTAGCACAGGCTGTGAGAGCCTCCCAGAACGGTACTGGGATCCAGTACAGTACCTGCTGGCCAGCCCATCACTGAGCAGCCTGAGGTGTATGTTCTTCAGTGTATGAATGACTTGGGTCTCCTCCACAAAAGATCTTTTCCCACTTTGAGAGTGGCCCCAGGGTCTACAACAGCCTTTCACTTGCGCTAAAGATTAATGTTTACGTGAAGCAGGGAGGAGACTCGGCCCATGCTCACAAGGTGGGAGAGATCCCAATGTCTGGTTTCACGACCCACATCTGAGCTTTTGGTGGTTGCAGTGAGCTCTTAAAGCTTTGAGCTGGGTGGTCTTTTTAGGGTGTCATCAGACCACATGGAAGAAGCGGTGGTTTGCAGCTGTCTCCCACCAGAATTTAAGAAATCTGAAGAGCTGGCTTTGTATCCCACCATGAGACCGCTCTTGGATGACCCGTAATACTCGCATGTCCCATAAGAACAAGTCAGATACCTCATACTCATCATCAGCAATACCTTGCTCCTTTTACATGGAAGAGCTGTTTGCAGATTGGCCTGTGTCAAATCCTGCTGCTGATCCTAAATCCTGCTGTTGAGGGATTATCCAACTCATATGAAGATGGACGTGTCCATGCCAAATGTGTCTTATCTATTGCAGGGCCCTGAGCACCCCAACCCTGGGATGCCGTACACAGCAAGAGGCTTTCCGCGCTATTGTTATCTGCCAGACAACGAGAAAGGCAGAAAGGTAAGGTATCACACCCTGGTAACGCGACCCTTCTCAGGTTGTCTCTTGGCCCTGTGTTGGTGGATCAGCACAACAGCATCGCTTGTGGGAGCTGTCCCCACGATGCTAACCATCTATTCTTGGTAGTTGTCCGTGCTGCTTGTTCCTTACATGTACTTATAATTCATCTGCCCACAAAGATCTTTGCTGCTTCTTCATAGCTGTGACTGTGAAGACTTGTTCTCCTTCATCCCTTTACTAAACAAAACCCCATCTGATCCTTTGGGAAGCCACTCCTGGCCTATCTTGGGCTATGCAGTTACAAAGATTTGCACTGAGAACCGCTGAGCTCAGAAAGTCCAGCTGCTGGCTTTTCCCTTCCCCGTTTCCTCTGGGTGGGTGTATTTGTCTCAACTTGTGCCGGTATTTCTCGAGTCCTGGAAGACCAGCATGTATAGGGAATGGCCCTTTCCATCAGGGACACCACATGGGTAACTAGGAGGTAAGGGAAATCCCTTCTGATGCTGGGATCTTTGGTATGTTCTTGCTACAGCAGGGACTCAGGTTGTCAAGCTTCTGGCAAGCCGCTTTCATGGCTCAGGTCTCCTAGCTGCTGAAGGCCAGCTTTGATTTTTCTCTTTCCACCTCTAGGTCCTGGAGCTCCTCAGGGTGGCTTGGAAGAGACGCCTGATTTTCACAGTAGGCACCTCCAGCACCACCGGCGAGAGCAACACGGTGGTATGGAATGAGATCCACCACAAGACGGAGATGGACACAAACCTGAGTGGCCACGGCTACCCTGACCCCAACTACCTGGACAATGTGCTAGCAGAGCTGGCCGCGCAGGGCGTCACCGAGGACTGCCTGAGACAATGAGCTGGGGTGGGGGCCCGGCTGTGCCGTGCACGCCTCGGGGGGCCCGCCTAGTGCACTTATTCCTGTTGCCTTAAGTTCCTGTGTCTGACCACCTGTCACACTGAGCAATAACACTGTACCGCAGGAGCCCTGCCTGCTCTTTACAGTCTCTTTTGTTGGGGGGAGGGAAGGATATTTTTGTAGAAACTGCACTTGCATCTCCAGTTGGGGTTGATGGCCACAGCCAGGACTGGCTGGGACATTGGTCCTGAGGTGACAGATCCTCTTGTGAGGGCAGGACCTTGCCCTGGTAATACTTGGGGACAGGATGGGGAGAGGGGAGCATCTTGCTCCCGCTGGACCACCTGGACAGCAAACAAGGGTCTCCCTCTGGCCCACTGCAGCTCCCTGTCTCCGAGGCACCTCTTACAGCGAAGCCTTCTGCCCCTGTATCCATCCTTGGTCATAATAAACACTTCATTTCCACAGCGAGTCGCCGCTTTGCCTTCGAGCTGCCTGATGGCTTGGGGTGCCTCCCCGCTCAGTGGCCCTCTCTGGGGGACCAGCCTGCTCCACGGAGCTGGGGACACTCGATCCAGCCAGGAGAAAGGAGGGAAAGCCCAGCTCTGCTGGAGGGACACAAATCTCTGCGGGGGCAGGACACAGGGCTTTGCCCGCCGGAGCGAAGGTGACTGCAGCGGTGACCTGGCAGTGTCCATCCCGAGGGAAGTGACAGCCCGCTGCTCTTGCTGTGAGCTGCCATCCCCGCTCCTGTCCTCCTGAAACCCTTCTGGCAGGACCTGCCCCTCTTCTCCCCCTCTCTCAGGTTGAAATAGCAGCAGTTGGGGGCTGTTTGTGCCGGGTGAAGCCTCTGCAGGGAGGAGGCTGTTGTGCTTTGTGCTAACCCCACTTTGTGCTGCTGCTGCAGGGACTGCTGGTGCCATCAGGCGGTGACAGGCCACCTTCCCTGCCACCGGGTCCGTGGTGGCAGCGATGCCGGGCTGCTAGGAGAGGTGCTCTCTGGGCAGGATGCTCCAGCACCATCAGCTCTGCCTGTTATGAGCTCTAGCTCCTTGTGAAGGGGGTATTGCCCCAATCCTGGTGGCCTTGCTGTACGTTGTCCCCAGGCTTCTTGTCACCTGGTAGCTGAAGCCTTTCTAAGAGCTGTTTCTGGATGTTCCCCTCCCTGTGACCACTGGTCCCAGCTCCAAGTCCCGGGAGCTCTGCCCACGTTAAATCCCTTTGGCACATCAGAGGCCCTGGTGCCATCTGCCATTTCACCTCCTTTGTGGGAGATCCGGGACGTGGCCCTGCTTTGTGGTAGCTCTATCTTGGCATCCTCCTAGGACCAGCATGTCCTTTACCAGCAGAGAGGCAATTTTCTTTCTGTCGTGCTAATATAAAAATTAAATTTTTTTCAGTGTTGTCAAGGGCTGGAGCTTTTCCCAGTGTCCATCTTGTGCTTCCAGCCTCCTGGTTACCGTCTGCTGCGGGCTCTAGGGAGGAAACACGCAAACATCCAGCGACGTTTGGGGATGCTGCAAGAGCAGAAGCTCCTTGGGAGCAGCAGGTACATGTCTGGGTGTTACTGAGCTCTAACAAATGGGCTGTGTCTGCTCCTCTCCTGCCCTGGTTGCGACAGGGAGAGGTTTCGAGTTTAAACCTCAGCTTCTTACCCCCAGATCATGTTCTCCCAGCAATCAAAACAGTGAATTGAAGCAAAAATTGAGCAGGGTTCACCCAGCCCTGTGTAAAGCAAGAATATCCTGCTGAGCGTGGCCCAAGGCGTCTTCAGCAGCTGCTCCTGTGTGTGAATCAGCCGGAGCCTCCCTGCGTCTGGGCTGGTCCAGGGCCGGGGCACCACATCCCTGGCTGTCACCTCCTCTTGTCATGAGGACACAGGGCATCTCCTTAAATCCTTGCCACGTCTGTGCTGAGCCCCAGATGATGCAGCCCCTGCGGTGGGTGGCAAAGGCAGCAGAGCAGGGAGATGCTTGGAAGCCGGTCCCCTCTCTGCCCTGGGACAGGGGTAGCAGCCGGCGGAGGGGGAAGGCTGCAGGGCTGGCATGGGGTGAAAGCGTGACCGCGATGCCATGGTGCTGGTTGGAGCCAGGAGGGGACAGAGCCTGAAATAAGTGCTTATAATGCTACCAGACAGGTCTGACCGATGGACTTGAGTCCCCTGGCCCTGGCTGGAGCCCCAGGGTGGGGGTTTCTCCCTTCCCCCTGCGGTGCTGGCTCGTTTGGAGCAGGGTGGTTATTATTAGCCAAGCCTTGACCCCGCAGGTATGCTGGCCCCGCGTCCCCGGAGTGGGTACGGGCAGCTGAAGGTCTGACTCACTGTCCCTCTGCGTCACCCTGCTTCCCTCGCCCTGCTGCTGGCATCCCGCCGCTGGCACCCCGCTGGGGAGGCAAAGGAGGGGTCTGGGGTGACAGATGGGGGGGC